AGGGGATGTTTATGTGAAGACGGCCGACTTGCAAAACATAAAGTAAAAGAAACAAGCGAGCAAGCTACAAGTGATAGTGTGAACAAGCAACAGATACAGTAAACAGAAAATGCATCAAGGACTAATGAAACAGAATAGAATCAAATAACTAGATGAAATGATTACTCACTTCTCTTCGATTTCGATCTCGAGGCTTCGATCTGGTTTTTCTCTCGTGGTACAAAAAGCACCCACCCGACATCCATATAATTCGGATCTTTAGTCAAAATCTTGTTCAGATTCTCAACCTCAGCCTCTTTTGCAGATAGAAGATCAGAAATACCGATCAACGTGTCTTTGGATTGGATCGTGTACGTGACAACTTCTTGAGCTTCGTTTTCTATACACCCACAAACAAGACGTACGGTAAGTTCTTCTTCATCTTCTCCACCAAACTTCCATACTTGCCCGCTATAATACTCATCAGATATATACTCAACACTTTCTCCTGGTTTCCGTTCATAAACTGAATTATACAAATAGTATCCGTGGCCACTATCATCTTGCTCACAACGACATTTAACCGAAACTAGATAATCAATATCCGAATTGTGTTTCATGGGCATGATTCTAGAGGCGTTAACGGAGTAGAACGAAGCTATTTCTTCGGGTTTATGGCCTTTAGAAATGTGGTACAGATAGGAATCACATGTATGATTGTAGTTAGAACAAGTTAATGGGTACATAAGTGTTGATTTTATGACCAAATTGAGGGAAAAAACTTGTGTGATGAAGAAAGAAATGGAAAGGAAAAGAGTTGATGAGGAGGCCATGAGCATCTTTCAAGAGGAAAATAGAATTGTTGGATATGAAGATTGGTATAAATGTAGTGGTAGTTTTTGAATTTGCTCACTTGTCATCTAGTTAAAGAGTCTTAAGAGAATGGTGATATTTAAATGAATGTCCTTCTCATAGATTATGAGGCACATCTGTTAGACAGATGTGATTTTATAGGGTGTGTTTGATATACTGAATAAGATAGAATAAAATAAGGATCATTGTTTCATGTTTGACAGGAATTTTTATGTGGAACAGACATGAATTTTTATGTGGAACAGACAAGAATAAGGTGGAGCAGACGTGTTCCACCCCCACCCTATGGAACAAAGTGAAACAAACATATATTTTATCTTACACCCTTAAAACAAAACTTAATTCTCTTCTAAAACATCAAATACGTCTCCCTTTTTACATTTTACCTATTCTTTAAATTTATATTTATTGTATTTTATTCTTTTTAAACTTTTGCATTACTGACTTCAAAATAGTATTTTTATATGTTTTCTGTATATTGATTAATTTATGCAATTTATTAAATATTGATAATATAAAAGAATATAAAATGTATAAAATAAAATTTGGAAACTATTTTTGGTGTCATTTTATCGTATTGACGAGAACTTTTTAATAATATATATTGTTATAAAATTTACAATTTAATAAATTACATTAAACTAATGAAGATATATAAAATATATAAACAACTTATCATTGTACCATTTCTGTCATATCTGTTCTATCATGTTTTGTTCTGTCCTATCTGGGTAATAAACGCACTCAAAAGGGTTATTTAGGTAAATGACCTCCTCATAAATGTTTTTTAAATCCATATCTTTCTGACAATTGTTGTTTAAATCCATGACCTTTTGACAAGTTTGTAGGGTCATTTAAGATATGACTTTAAATGAGTTTTTAATTAAATTTATGATTTCCTGATCTATTAAAGAAAAAGAAGTCTTCATATTCATCAGAAGGATGTGGATTTTAATGAAAATCTCATTTAAGGTTATATAACTAAATTAGCAGTTTCTTTCTAGGCATTCTTATGTTAAGCAGTTTGATAATATGTCAGAAGGTCATGAATTTAATTAAATAGTTGACAAAAAGGTCATTTAACTAAAGACTTGATCTTAAGTATGTCTGAATGCCAGACATTTAGAAAAATCTGTTAAAAAGTTGGGGAGGGGGATCTTTTCTATCATTTTACAGATACTTTGTTACTGATTGTTTTTCAAAAAGAACCACAGAACCACACTCGAAAGGGGAAATTTTTGCCACCCTAGTAATTCATGGATTATTTAGGATATCTTATGATAAAGTTTTTTAAATGCATCATCTTCTGACATATTTAAGGTTTGAACTGGTTTCTACTTCCTTTCTCGTCCCCGACTATTTTGTACTTATTCATCGTACATATGTTAATGTCTTGTTACTATGGGTCTAGTGGCATTTATGATTCTTGATTTTGGTTATTCCTCATCCGGATGGGCTCGTGTCGCTATCGGGAATATCAAAACTCTCGAAGGCATAGTATTTATTTTGATGTGTATATATATATATATATATATATATATATATATGCATTTACACACGTATACGGGTTTTCAGTGTATGGTTTGATACGTAGTTTGATGTTGACCATACGTTGACTTTGATCTTCACAAAGAAATGGCTTTATAATTGTCACAATGGTGGAGCTTATTTTGTTCAGTTTTCTTTTTTATAAAAAAAAGTGGGACCCACATGCGAAGACAAGCTTGTAATTGTACAAGAAAAAAAGTGATCTACAATAAGCTTCATTGGGGATTGGCAGTGAAATTGGTATGGTACCAAGTTTTCTTTTCTCAATATTGAGTATCAACCGATTATAATTGGTATGCAAAATTTTATGTTATAGTTGGTACTGGTTTTGTACCAACTTCAAGTTACATATATGTGTTGTTTAAGGGATTATATGTGTGTGTATATATATATATATATATATATATTGCATTTTATTTATAGTTTCCTGCTTATAATTTGTTTTACTCATTTATCAGCATTCAGCAATGAACTTTCAAGAGGGTCAAAGTCTCTTCAGACATTTTCTATTGTATTTCTGTGCATGATTACAAAAAAGAAATTCCAAAACACACACATATATATGTGTGTATATATATAGGTTTAGAGGAAAATCATAAAAAAATGAAAAACTGAGAAACATTTTAGTAACCGTTCATCTGTACGGTATGTACATACACATAACATTCACACGTATATAGAAATCAGGAAACAAATTCAAATACTTGTATGTATATACCAAAACATATATTTCCTACAACCTCTCTTTATACATACATATATAATATCGTGTGCATAATATAAACATATATGCACACGCACGTGTGCACACACACACATATATACATTCATATAATTGAGATCACGGAAGACCAACATGTTTTTGTGAGACCCGTGAGACTATTTTTTTACACTTGAAACTTCACAGCAAAATGTTGTGAAGGTAACATTCACAGTGTTTTTGCTGTGAAAGTTCAATTTTTTTTACCTTCACAACATTTTGTTATGAAGTTTCAAGTGTAAAAAAATGGTCTTAAGGGTTTCATGAAAACAGACTGGTCTCACGTAAACTCATATATATATATATATATATATATATGTATGGCCTGCTATAAGTCTCCATCATCATTGGGAATTCCTCCTACAATCATTAGAATGGCTTTTGGACTTTGGAGGATTTTGAGGTCATACATATTTGGGCCCATGAATTTTAAACTTGATTTTATTTTAGGATTTTAGATTCAATTATCTAATTTGTATTGAATTTGATTATAATAAATAATTTCAAAACATATTGTATTGGAAACAAAGCTGTAATCAGGTTTTATGTTAAAATTTAAACTGAAATCTAGTTTTTGTGAAGATTATTGTTTCAATTTTGTGTTCGATTAATATAAGTTCACGACTTACTTAACCAGATATCTAGATACTGATTTTTAATTCGGTTGATCAAACTGATAGCTTGGAATTATTCACTTGATCGAACCTACAACTCTTGTTGGCATGAACCCGATATCCAATTTTGTTATGTTATACTGTATATTTTTGCTCTAACAGTTATGTTATACCGTATGCTAAAATTAGAGAAAAGAAGAGAGATGGTCGAAATGTACAAAGATGAAATATCTAAAAATTTCATATTTTTAAAAAAGATAAATAATATTTAAAACATAATTGATATAGATTGGTTTGAGCTTGGGCTCCAAAGCTTAAAAGTGTCTGAAGGTCTCAGGTTCAAATCCAAGGAGGATTAAAAATCCTCTTGTGGCAACAGAGGTTTAAATGCGGTGACTCTGGGCTACTACGAAGCAGGTGGTCATCTTGAAATTAGTCGGCTCATATGGCGGATTGGATATCCATGTTAATAAAAAAAAATACTCTTAATAGTTAGGGATGTTTTTAATTCACTAATGATTATTTGATTATTACAATTCCAAATAACGATAATCTATTAGAGAATGAAGTAAATCAACAAAATCCAAAGGTTAAAATGAGGAATAAAAATCATCTTGTGGTTATGGAGGTTCAAATGCGGTGACTCCAGGCTACCTGCAAAGTAGGTGGTGTCCTAGAATTAGTCAGCTCGCATAACGGGTTGGATATCCAGGTTAATAAAAAAAATCAACAAACGAAAATAATTAATTTGATATTAATTGAAATAAAATTGATTATCAACTACTAAAAAAGTGTTTATATATTTATTTATTAAATAATCAAAAAGTGTCAAACCTTAATATTATTAATTTTAATTTAAAAAAAAAATTAAATTATAATATAATTAGAGTTTTGAATATTGTTATTAAATAATTTGATAAAAACCTCTTCATTTAAAAATTATATAATTTTCTAACTTTTAATATTTTTATATCATATTCTCTAAATCATGTATAATACAATAATACCCATTATGAATCACAGGGACAGTATTTGACTGGTTTGAACTTGGACTCTAAAGGTCAAAAGTGTATGGAAGTTTCAAATTCGAATTCAAGAAAGAATAAAATCTTCTTGTGGCTATGGATGTTCAAATGCGGTGATTTCAGACTACCCGTAAAACGAGTGATCGTCCTGGAATCAGTCGACTCGGATAACGGGTTAGATATCCAAGTTAATAAAAAAAATTAATAATAATACCCATTATGTTAGTTTCTTTATCACCACTATAGACATTTTACGTGAAGTTATTAATTGTGGATTCATATTTTTTGTCGAACGGGTATGCTTTTAAGGTAGATAAAAAAACTCGTAAAATTGCCCGTTGTATTTTTAGTTGAATTCTATCATTTCAAAAGATTTTCAAAGCTCTTCTGTTAATTTCCAGAGATTTTTAAGTTTTTTAGCTGATTTCGATTTTTGTTTTTGTTTTTAGCTGATGCTTATAATATCACAGAACCCTCAATGTTTACGTATGCATTTTTTATACCTGAAAAAAATAAATTAAAATCAATTCGTATTAATAAATAAGTTTAATTTCAAATATAATAAATAAATAATGCATTTGCTATAAATATTCGTGTAATGATGTGTGTCACATCTTAATTTTGTGGTTTTGAAACCCTCTTTAAAAAAATAAAAATATAATAATATGGATATGAAATTAAATAGAAAGAATATTATTTTTAATATAATTTATTTATTAAAATAATTTAACAAAAAAACAAATTTGGGGTCGATACTAAACACTTACTTGGTAAGTGCTTATTGGATAAATTTCCTCATCGGATGAACATGAGAAGGGCTAAAAATCTTACTGGGTAAGAGCGATGAGAAGGATTGAGAGTTTTACTCGGTAAGTGAGGATGACGACTCTTACCTAGTAAATCATTGCATTCAATATGTTTTGATATATTAAAATCTTATGCATCAAAATAAAACATAGTGTTGACTCTTATCAGTAAGCGCTTACCGGGTAAGCAATTAGGTAAACGGCCCTTAAATCTATGAAGTTTATCGTTTGATTATGTAGTTAATGAAGTTTTAATAAATTATACATGGATCATAATAACTTGTAATTTTAAAGTATTTATACGAATGAGTTGAGTTCTAGTGAGAAGGAGATTTAAGGTGAGAAGCGTAAGAAGGGATTTTCACTTTTAGATGCATATTAGGATAAGATGCATCGAGATGTACAAGATCAATCTCCGTAACAAACGCGATTCATGTGTGAGTTTGAGATTAAAGGTGATCAATAATTCAGATCCATTTTTACGCTTCTCACTTTAAATCTCCTTCTCACACGATCCTTCGCCTAAATTGTATATAATGCTTAACTTAAAAAAGAGGGCGTTTGGATTTTGAAAAGATGAGTTTTTTTTAAGATGTTCCATTTGTTTAGTTTTTGGTATTACAAAGTAAGCCATGAAATTTACGATGAACTCAATGAACGAATGGTTTTTTATGAATACATTTTTTTTCGTGAAATAGTGATCTTTTGTAAACATGTTTAATTTATGATATTGTACTTTTTAGTAAACATATTTGATTAAATTTACAATATTTAAATGATAAAAATATTAAATTTAAAAGTACGATGTTGTAATAGAAATTAGTGATGTTATAATAAGATAATTTTGAAAGTACAATGCTATAATAAGAAATGCCATGTCAGTATTATCGTACATGTGGACAGCTTACGTAGACGATGAGGTGACAAAGAAATCTAGTATAATAGGTTAATTTAATTTAAGAGGTTACCCAATGCTATAATATGAAATTTATTTAAAGTACGATGCCTAATAATTTTTTTTAAAGTATATTGTCATAATAAGAAAAACTGAAAATACAATTTTATAATAAGAAAATTTGTAAAAGTAGGTTTCTATTTCACGCATTTTACGCTATCCATAATTGCCAACAATCTAATTCTCCTAAGTTTTGATCTTGCACTTTAGAGATCGTCATCGTTGGATGTATATTGAACAAAAGCAAGCAGAGCACAACGAACACTTCGTCAACACACGTGTCCATCATTAAGGGTTCATCATCAGCTCTCACAAATGTCATCGTGGAAACCACGTCACATCCTTCCTTGTTCGTTTTCTCCGAGATTCTTGTTGTCCCTAATATTCTCGAGGTATAAATTTTTGCCATTTTTTTTTATGTATTTTGCCATTACCAGTATGATTAGTTTCTTCCTACCAAATTTGTGTTTTTAGCGATGCTTCCATCAGTTTCTGTTTGCACAGATATATGAGAGGAATTAATTTTCAGTAGCTGTATCAAATGTATATCTTTCAAGAATGTGAAGATGGAGAGGTTCAAAACAAAAGGTCTTACGAACAGTTATTTATGGCTGAACGAATAAGCCATATAGGCTATACAGCCCATTAAGCCATAACTGAACAACCCCTTAGTGAATGCTTGTATTATACGACTGATATTCGAATGTTTGTATATATAGATAGATATAGCTTGTATGGGTTGGGTTCACGTGAGACCAAAGGGTTTTTTTCGTGAGACCCGTAAAACCAATTTATGTTCATTGATCAACTTTATAAGCTAATGATCTAATGGTCTAAAGTTGCACGGTGATAATTTTATTATTATTGAGAAGTTTCGTGGCAATTTTGTGATTATGAATGTTTAGATTGCATATCTAATCCAACGTTTGAGAATTGGACTTACAGGTCTTATGAAAAACTTTTTGGTCTCACGTGATCCCATCTCTAACTGGTATAACACATATCAACAATTATTTGAATGTTCGATGGTTTCAGTGCATCCAAATCCGATCAGTAAAAATGTCAACATAAATATGTAGGGTTGGGTTCACGTGAGACCAACCTGTTTTCGTGAGACCCGTGAGACCACATTTTTACACGTAACCTTCATAGCAAAAACACTGTAAAGATTTAAAAAAAGTCGAACCTTCACAGCAAAAACACTGTGAAGGTTTTAAAAAGTTACCTTCACAGCATTTTGCTGTGAAGTTTCAAGTGTAAAATGTTGGTCTCACCGGTCTTATGAAAACAAGTTGGTCTCACATGATCCCAAGTCTAAATATGTATATTCAACTTTTACTTATATAAAAAAAAAGAGTTAAAATCAAATATAATTGATTAGTAAATGGTATAAAATTTTAAGTAACAATTACATAATATCATATCATGTTGATGTTGGTAAAAGTTAGTTTTATTTGGGTAAAATTGAGAAGGAATATCTTTGATATTATTGGTCTTGAATGGTCAACGATCAATAATCCAACGGTCCGTGATGCAGCATTATCAGAAGACCGCTGTGACGGTAGCAATCCAAGTGATTTTATCCTCTTTTTACAGTGGATGAGAGTCCATGGAACCCGATGGAGTTGCGTGTACAAATAACCAATGCGAAGAAGATATAGACCGACCGCCTGTTATCATCAACATTTATTCAATCCGGCGGACCTTCACACAGGTCCCTTCTCTCTCGCTTCCGATTAACCGGAAAACGACTCTCTTCCATCGCTCCTAATTCTAATTCCTGTGATTTAGGTACAGAATCTAGACCTAAAATGTTTATGTCTTCTATTGTGTATACGCATATCTGTTTGTATATGTTCGGTAATATGTTAGGGTTTCGATGTTAGTTTCTCTGAATTATGTGTTTATGTTGTTTTCCGTGATGTTTTTTTTGCTTTGTTGGAAGGATTTGGATTTCTGTTGATTTTTTAGCTGTATATGAATGGATTATGGATTAATAATTGATTTGTGCTTCTCGAAGAAGTCGCGTGGTTGATAATTTTACCATTTCAGTGCTTAATTTGAACTTTTAGTATTTAAAGTTATTGGTTTAGTGATTATGTTGATGAGCTATTAAAGGCTTTTGTTTAGGAGCTTATTTTTATGGCTAAGTTTCTGTGGCTTATTGTTTTGATACTTCGATTGATGAGTTGTTTTTGATACGTTAGCCTTTTAAAGTTTTTGCTGTTCCGGATGAGTATTTGTAAGGCTAAATGTTAAGGTCGCATGGCCCATGAAACAAACTGTTTGAAAGAAATCTGGAAGTAGGAATGATGTTTTTTAAATGAACATTTAATTCTGGAATTTGTTTGTTTTCTTGTTTCTCAAGTCTTTTTGAACTATGCTGTCTGGTTATAAGGTGTAAATATGCTTATCGTTAGACTACTTCTAGACATACCGTGGACAGCTGGGTTTATTATAACTAATTAGCCAAACATATAATTTTGCAATTAAAATGTCATAAAACATGCTAACCTGGACATAGTAGCACTATCTCATGCATTATTGTAATCATGAAGGGAAGCTTATTTCCATTGTTTTTTTTTAAGTTTGTATGGTGTTATATGGCATGCACGCTGGTATTTTATCTTCTTGTTTCATCCAAGTGAAATTAAGCCACTGAATGCCTGTTTGAATATTTAACTTCAATCTGAATGGCTTGGTGAATTCCTTGTAGATGAAGAAACTCATATGCTAACTTTACTTATAAAATGACATTGGATTCACTTTAAGTTGGCTGCCCTTGGTAAATCTCAAAATTTTCTTTTTGACTAACCAGTTGAAATTGCATGGGCCTCTATTATTTTTGACTAACCAGTTGAATTATGGTGTCAAAACCAATTTCTTGTGTCATTGGCCACAAGTAAGCAAAATTACAACTATTCTTTGAAGAAAGGCCGAGCTAGAATCCTTTTAGCTCGATGACCAGGCTGCTTATTCAAAACCTGATATATTATTTTTAGAAATACTGGTATTAAATTCTTGTGTATGAGAAATCCATTTCTATAATCATGTAGTGCCACATACTTTTAATGCAAAATTACGTACATTTTCTTAACATATATATTTACTTCTGTCCTCCTGCTATTTCTTTAGAGGAACTGTTGCAATTTTGTTCATGCTACATCAACTAGTTTTTTATATTTCTCAAACATGTTTGTCCCCCAATATTCATTATTGCAATTACTAGAAAAACCTGGATCGTAATTACCAGTAGAAACCATTGTTTGCAGAATTCTTTGGTTGCAATCATGGCTGGGGCTTTGGTGCAATCCACCAGTTTTACTTCTGCAGTTTCCGGTGAAAGCGAGGTCCGTTCAAAGCGATCTGGTAGTATAAAAAGACCAGTCAAGATGATGGGCTTACAAGCTCCTTCAGTGAGGGTTAGGACCTTCTCTGGTTTGCGGGGAGTAAATGCTTTAGACAACTTGGTAAAGAGAGGCCAGGATTTCCACTCAAAGGTTGCAGCAGCCACCTCTGTCCGAAGAGCAAAACCTAGTCGAATTGTGCCAAAGGCCATGTTCGAGCGCTTCACAGAGAAGGCTATCAAAGTTATTATGCTTGCACAAGAGGAGGCAAGACGGCTTGGTCACAATTTTGTGGGTACGGAGCAGATTTTATTAGGTCTTATTGGTGAGGGCACTGGCATTGCAGCAAAGGTGCTTAAGTCAATGGGAATTAATTTGAAAGATGCACGTGTTGAGGTAGAAAAAATTATTGGTAGGGGTAGTGGATTTGTTGCTGTAGAGATTCCATTTACACCTCGTGCAAAGCGTGTACTGGAACTATCACTAGAGGAGGCCCGGCAACTTGGTAATCTTCTTGTCTTTGTGTCTTTATCTGTCCAAACAATATGTATGTTGTTGAACCGTGACAAAACTAAATCAAGGGAACTTATTTATTACCATGGCTTAAAATTTCAGGTCATAATTACATTGGTTCAGAGCACTTGCTTCTTGGTTTGCTTCGTGAGGGGGAAGGTGTAGCAGCTCGCGTTCTTGAGAATTTAGGTGCAGACCCAAATAACATTCGCACACAGGCAAGTGCACCTATATGTACTCCACCTGTCCCAAAATTAGTGGCCTTATTTCTATTTTAGCTTGTTCCAGAACAAGTGTCCACTTTGAAAAATAAGCGTCTACTTTCCAATTCTGTCCTCAATTATGAGACTAGAAATCCGTTACTTTCATATCATTAAGGGTAAAATTGTAATTTCAATTCTTACAAGTGTGTGCCCTTTTCGTTCATTATGGACATTTATTTTGGGACGGGGAACTAACTAACTTATCTTCATCGTTTTTATCCTTAGTAAATTTCGTGTACCAAGAGTGTGCTTATCCTTATGTCCAATCTTAAACTCCTTGAGTAGGTGATCAGAATGGTTGGCGAGAGTGCAGAAGCTGTGGGTGCTGGAGTTGGTGGTGGAAGCTCCGGAAACAAGATGCCAACACTGGAGGAATATGGTACCAACTTGACAAAGCTAGCGGAGGAGGTAACTTGTGTCCATTATGCAAGCGGTTTACCTTTTAAGCAAATTTTATTTATTTGTTATTTATTAACAATTAGTTTCTTCCATAATGTAGGGTAAGCTGGATCCTGTTGTAGGAAGGCAGCCACAAATTGAAAGAGTTACTCAAATTCTGGGACGCCGTACAAAAAACAATCCCTGCCTGATTGGAGAACCTGGTGTTGGAAAGACAGCGATTGCAGAAGGTCTTGCCCAAAGAATTGCAACTGGTGATGTTCCAGAAACAATTGAGGGAAAGAAGGTGGGTTGTAGTTTATGAAGTCATTTATATTGTGCGGTTTCAAATTGGCAAGAGTGTAAGTAACATGTAATGCTGATTCACTTGGGACAGTAGTTGGTGTCAAAAATTTTAGACTAAACTAGTAAGGGCTTCACCCTCTGCACCCTAGCAGTTGACCTTCCAAGTGCATGGTTTGGTGTCATAATTTTTTGCAAGTAAAAAATATCACAATATTTTGCAAGTCAAAAAGGTCATTCATAATGCCCATAGAAGTCTATATGTGAATATTTTAGAAGGGGTAGGCTAAATGCACCCCCATATATTGCTAAGAATGCATCCTTATATATTTGCTAAATGCACCCCTATCTACTAATTTTCTTCTCACAAACATCAACATCAAGACTTACTTTTTACATTTTCAGTGCATGATTTGACTTGGTTCTGACATAAATAAGGGTGCATATAGCAACACCCATTTTAGAGTCAAAATATTCTTCTTGCTGGACCCACATTCATCCTGATGTCTGTTTATGCATATTTTGAGCAGAGTAATATGCAACTATATCATAGGTCTTATGTTGGGAGAAGGGTTATGCACCATGGATTTTAGTAAATAGAGAAGTTCAATATTTCACCTTCGTGATTTCTTTCTTCGTGATTCAAATGACTTTGTAATTTATGCTTTTGTTTTTCAGGTGATTACTCTGGATATGGGTCTGCTTGTTGCTGGCACAAAGTATCGTGGAGAGTTTGAGGAGAGACTAAAGAAGCTCATGGAGGAAATCAAGCAAAGTGATGAAATTATTCTCTTTATTGATGAAGTCCATACATTAATTGGAGCAGGAGCAGCAGAGGGGGCTATTGATGCTGCTAACATCTTGAAGCCTGCTCTTGCCAGAGGTGAATTACAGGCAAGTGAAACCCAATGCAAGTATAATTGATGCATAATAACACATAGATGTGCATACAGTTAGATATCATCAATCAAAAATGAAGTTTCTATCTTACAAAAGTTACGCCTGCTTCGATTTCCACAAGTTATATGATCATGGATTTACCTTTCTTATAATACAAATGTTGGCGGTATATATACATTTTTTCTTTTTGTTTTTCCTATTTCTTCATCACAAACTTGTTAAAATTGGTGCAGTGTATTGGGGCAACGACCCTTGATGAGTACCGGAAGCATATCGAGAAGGACCCAGCACTGGAGAGACGATTCCAGCCTGTAAAGGTGCCTGAGCCGACAGTTGATGAGACTATACAGATTTTGAAAGGGCTTCGAGAACGATATGAGATTCACCACAAACTCCGTTACACCGATGAAGCACTTGTAGCTGCTGCCCAGTTGTCATATCAGTACATAAGGTATATGAATCTAGTGTCTCCCCATCTTTGATGTCTTGCGGATTATCATTGATTATACTCCCTCCATCCTAAAACAAATGAAATTCGTACAATTATAGAAGTGAGTAACTATTACACTTTTTAATTAACTAAAGGGGCCGTTTACCTAACTCTTACCCATTAAGTGCTTGTAGGGTAATGATTAAACGCTTTCGCTTAACTTATCGGGTAATATGTAACATTTTATCCGGTAAGTGCTTACCGGGTAAGAGTCGTCACTATCACTTACCGGACGAAACTCGTCCCTTGTCATCGCTCTTACTGGGTAAGCTTCTCAATCCTTGTCATGTTCACCCGATAAGGTAAAGTGATCTGGTAAGCACTTACCGGGTAAGCGTTTAGTAAACGGCCCCTAAATGATAAATTTACCCTTAATAATAGGAGTAATGAATTTCTTCATTTGATGTTACTTTGGAAAGTATGCATTTATTTTGGGACAAAACTAAAATAGAAATGTGGACACTTTATTAACATGGGAAAAAGATGTGTTGGTAATCTCTTCGTTTTCTTAAGCTTTTGTTCTCCGGTGCAGTGACCGTTTTCTTCCTGATAAAGCTATCGATTTAATTGATGAAGCTGGTTCTCGTGTTCGACTTCGTCATGCACAAGTATGTATTTCCTTGTACCATTATATTACTGGCTTTACCTTAGTAGGCCGTCCATTAACGATCTATATGCACTTCAGCTTCCGGAAGAAGCCAGAGAGCTTGAGAAAGAGCTTAGGCAGATAACAAAAGAGAAGAATGAAGCAGTTCGCGGCCAGGACTTTGAAAAGGTACTTTATCATTTACCAAAATATCAAGTTGGCTCATTCATCTTTATCTTGATCCTATGTTTGCACCGGTGTTCTTTCTTTACGGTTAAACCAAATCAAACTAAAGGTCAGTTTGTTAGCAGCTTAATGAGCTTAATGAGACTCGTGGCTTATTCGGTCAGCTATACATGATTGTTTGGTAGGGACTTAATGATATAGAAAGTGGTTTATTTAGTAAACTTCTAGGGGGAGGAAAACCAAGTTTTTTTCAAACCTGCCCCTCCTAGTTTAAAAAATGTTCCTTCCATCTATGAAAAAACCTCCCAAATAAAAACTCTCATTCTATTTAGACAGATTAATCTAGCTTTATCCATACAGGACTTAATGAAAAACCAACCAATCAACCCATAACCCAGCAAATCCCACTCGAAAGTAGGGTTTGTGGATGAGACGTATGCAAACTTGACCCTGTGTGTGGGTGAGACGTACACAAACCTGACCTCTACCCAAAAAGGGTAGAGTGCTGTTTTCGTGAGGACAATTCTTTCCTTTACGGTTGACTTTACTAATCTTGTACTCTTGACAGGCTGGGGAATTGCGTGATCGAGAGATGGATCTCAAGACTCAGATATCGGCTCTTGTGGATAAGAACAAAGAGATGAGCAAGGCCGAGACAGAGGCGGGAGAGGAAGGCCCGATGGTAACGGAAGCAGACATTCAACACATTGTCTCGTCTTGGACAGGTATACCGGTCGAGAAAGTCTCGACCGATGAATCCGACCGCCTCCTCAAGATGGAAGAGACTCTCCACACACGAATCATCGGTCAAGATGAAGCTGTCAAAGCTATTAGTCGTGCCATTCGTCGTGCCCGTGTTGGACTAAAGAACCCCAACCGCCCCATTGCCAGTTTCATCTTTTCTGGACCCACCGGTGTCGGGAAGTCTGAACTTGCTAAAGCGTTGGCTACTTACTATTTTGGGTCAGAAGAAGCCATGATTCGGCTCGACATGAGTGAGTTCATGGAGAGGCACACCGTCTCAAAGCTCATCGGTTCACCTCCCGGTTACGTTGGTTACACCGAAGGTGGTCAATTGACCGAGGCCGTGCGTCGCCGTCCCTACACCGTTGTGCTATTCGACGAAATCGAGAAAGCTCACCCTGATGTCTTCAACATGATGCTTCAAATCCTCGAAGACGGAAGATTGACCGACAGCAAAGGAAGAACCGTGGACTTCAAGAACACGCTTCTAATCATGACATCAAACGTCGGAAGTAGTGTAATCGAGAAGGGTGGCCGAAGGATTGGGTTCGACCTCGACTATGACGAGAAGGACAGCAGCTACAACCGAATCAAGAGCCTGGTCACCGAGGAACTGAAACAATATTTCCGCCCGGAATTCTTGAACAGACTCGACGAGATGATCGTATTCCGACAGTTGACCAAACTTGAGGTCAAAGAAATCGCTGACATAATGTTGAAGGAAGTCTTTGAGAGGCTAAAGGTTAAAGAAATCGAGCTTCAAGTAACCGAGCGATTCAGGGATCGGGTCGTGGAGGAAGGATACAACCCGAGCTACGGTGCAAGGCCGCTGAGACGTGCAATCATGAGGCTACTGGAAGACAGCATGGCGGAGAAGATGCTTGCACGTGAAATCAAGGAAGGCGATTCCGTGATCGTGGATGTCGATTCTGAAGGGAACGTGACCGTTCTCAACGGCAGCAGCGGAGCTCCGCCGGAGGCATTGCCGGAGCCAATTCCGGTGTAGACAAAAAAGGCCAGTTTCTGATCTCTATCTACAATCGACCAAATATGTTGTTTGTTGTACTGTGATGCTTTTAATTGGCACATAAAAACATATGATACAGTCTTATTGAGGCAGCAAAGTTAGGTTTCTGCCCAATGAATTTGCATGCACAGTCCAGCTCCAGCTCCAGCCACAAATCACGGTTATTTATAGATGTTGCACATTTTTTTCTTACTAATAAACCTTAAAAAAACCGTTCCATAGTTTTTGTTGTTATGATTCCATGTTATATCTGCTAAAACCAAATACTTATACCCCGTAAGTGCTTAACTGCTAGAAATTATTCTTACTGTCCTGATATTAACAATTTCTGATCATCAAAACGGATTGTAAGGGAGCGTCTTAATCTCGACAAGTCTTTACTGGGCAAGAGTCGCTTTCCTCATTTAATTGAATGATATTAACCTTTCATGTTTGATTTATAGAAATTGTAATGAAATTGAATTCCGTTAAATTACCTTTATATTGATTGATTATTATAAAATAAATATTTTTATTATATTTTAAAATATTATTACATACAAAATTCTCTAAAATACCAACTATCATGTTAGATTTTAAAATCCTATGTTTATAGGATTTCAATTTATAGGATTTCAAATATTTGAAGAGGTAATTTGTGTATTCCTTGATATATAAATCGTTAAAAGATGAATCTTATTTGGTAAAAAAAGTTTGAAAAACCCTTTGTATCTTGGGTCTTTCTCGTTCTAATTTCGTTGTAAATAATTAAAAAACAGTTATATTTCATTTTGCACTATATTATGAGAGTCTTTTAATTATTCTAATCATCTGCACCAAAACATTCAACAACTATGAGTCCTTAAAAAATCAATTCTTCAAACCAAACATAAGATCAAAATAGAATTCAATTTAAAACCCAATCCACTCTATGGAACCGAACCAAAACTATAAGGTAAATGAGCAGGTAAACAACCTCTAAAACCAATAATTTTGGAAAATATAAGAACAAATTTATTGATGGCCCTTGAAAAGCCCAATGAACACAGGCCCATAATATCAAGTCCTAGCAGCTTTTTGAGTTCAATCTCTGCCTCTGGTCTTCAGAGCTGCTCTCCTAAAGCAGTTCTTCATATAGGTTAGTGATGACAAGGCCGTTATTCCGATAGCTCCTGACGTCAGAACTCCGGTGACCGCCAGTCCGATGGTGAGCGACGCCGGTACTACAACTGGGCTGAAGACGACGAAAACTGGGGTGGCGATGGTAACTCCGATGACGGTGGCTGTGAGCGTCACCGCCGAGAATACGAGGAGGAATCCACCGATGGGAAAGAGGGTGACGACGGCCATGATTTTTGAAGTTGGGTTACTAGTTTGTGGGTGGTTCATGGTGGCCGTGGGCTGGTGGTGCTGCCTGCGGTCCGCCATCGACCGACGGTGGAGTCGGTTTTAGTGAGTAAGGAAAGAGGAGGACGACGAGGGGATAAAAGGGGAAGGGGTGTGTGTACACGTGGAATGGTGGGTGACAAGTGTTAAAAATATGGAGCGATGATGATGTAGGACGAGGTATATCCCTTAATATGGAGACTATTTTACGTAGTTCAATTTCAAATTTTTACGGTAGTGGTGTAAATGAGTCGAGTAACACGTTATTCGAGTTCGAATAGAAAAATTAATATCAGGTTCGAGTTTAAGTTTGATACATTTTTTTGAAGCCGGGTTCGATAAAACTAATAGCAAGTTAACCTATTCAAGTAAATGGGACACTGTCACTTAGTGATGGCCAAACCGGCCCGGGACTGGGACCAGTAAGAACCGGTTATAGGACCGAAATCTGGGACTGGTTATGGATTTGAGGTGTTTCGCGGGATCGGGACCGACCGGGACTGGATTGGTTGTGGCCTGACCCGGCCCGATTTTTAAAAAATGTAACTATTTTTTTTTGTATTTTTTGCTTTCTAAACACTATATATAAGTGTCTTGGTCGAGGGATTAACATACCAAGTTCTTGATTCGCAAAAAAAAAAACGTTCACAATTATCGGTTTCTCGCTATATTTTGTAAGACAATGTAATTTTTATTATAATAAAACGCATTTTAAAGTGTATTTGAGTAACCCAATTACAAATTTTATAATATATTAAAAATATATATCATTAAAAAAAAATATTTTTTAATGACCGGGACCGGGACCGGGACCGGTGGCGCATAACCGGTTACAATAAAGCTTGATCGGGCTCAACTTTTTCGAGCTGGACCGGGACCAGTTATGGCCGGTTATGAGAAATCTTGGGACCGGCTCGGCTCTGCTCGGGACCGGTTTTTGGCCATTACTATTGTCATTATTTAAATAAATGGGTTGAGTTGGGTTGGGTTGGGTTAAAATTTCCAACCTGTTTCCAACTCATTAAGTTGAAAGTGGAAGTCGAGTTACTTAGAAATTAAAGGAATCTGATGATATTTGAATAATTTATTTGCATTTATGGTAATGATTGTGTTTTATTCGAATTTTGAACAATTTATTTGTATTTGTGATTGTGGTTGTGTTTTATTCACATAATTAAATAGTTTAATCCTTTTATTTTATTTATAATTCTAAAATTAAATGGGTCAACCAATTCATTTAACATGTTATGTTAAGAAAATATAAACAGGTCAACTCGTTATCAACCAATTTAGGTAACATGTTGGATTAAGTTGAAAAATCTTAACCCATTTAATTAAACGAGTTGAGTTGGGTTGAAATTTTCAACCTGTTGAATAAGTGGTTGAGCCTAAACCTAATCCAACCTGACCTATTGACACCCCATACTTTGCTATGGGCAATTGTGTTTGCCAACTGCTTGATAAAAATGACCTACACTTTTCAAAGTCTTTTAAGACTAGCTTGCAAAGATAACATGGTTTTTACACTTGAAACTTTACAGCAAAACACTGTGAAGGTAACTTTTACAGTGTTTTTACCGTGAAGGTTCAGCTTCTTTTTTACCTTAACAGGGTTTTGCAGTGAAGTTTCAAATGCAAAAAATGATCTCACGAAAACAAGCTGGTCTCATGTGAACCCAACTCTATGTAACCCTATTTTAAAGATAAATGTGAAATTATATTTACAATGGTCTGTATAAGATAAACTTTTTGAAGATTTGTCGTATTAAATAAAATTTTGAGTAAATTACATATTTTAAACTTACAGTTATATATGGAAAATGCAACAGACACGATCCATGTGGTTGCATACAACGAGTTGGATCCTTAATGCAATCATAGGGACCCATTTCGTTAATTTATTTAAGGACCACATCAGTATTAACTCTGTAAAGATAAAAAAAAAACACGTATTATTTTCGAGCTCATTAGCTCTTGACCCGTGTTAACCGGTTTGCTCCTTAAACTTTGATCATTTCGTCTCTCTTTGGTCAGTATTAGTGCATTCATGTGTCGTAGTTCGGGTTGAATTGAGTTGTACTGCCTTCGTGTGGGCCTTGGAAGGTCCAAAATATATGGGCCAGATTTTCATGTCTATCGGGTTAGATCTTTGTTTTTCTTCGCCATCGTAGATAGTTTTGTTCGGCCCGACATAATTTTTCGATAATACGAGAACAAAAAAATAGGATAACTTGTAACACTGAAGTATAAACCTCTTACGTTTAAACCCGTATTAGAGATGAAAGAATTTGAAAACCGACGAAGGTTGAACGCCCATGAACTTCTTTGAATGAGGTCTTAATGCTTTAAAACACCGTAAAGTTTTGACTTACGGAATTCAGAAAACATACGTCCAATACCTAACCAACCAATATAATACTACATGCAGGAGTTGTTAACTTATAGCTTGATGAACTCAATGGTCTAGATGACTTGGGGGTTGTTTACTTGCGGTTTGATTAGACTTATTCGTCTATCTGATTTATTTGCACAGCTCATTTGTGTTGTTTACTTACTACTTATTCACACAGAACATGGCTTAATCACACAAATAGAAATAATGTGTTGTCCCCATTCAGCCACAAAAATGACACCCCACCCCTTATTTAAAGCACCTCCTCATTCCCATATGAGACACCCATCTTCGTCCTTTTTATGATTTTTTGTTTTGATGTTCAAATAATTAATATTGGGGGGTAAATCGGTCATTTATGTTATTCAGACCGTTGGTTCAGATAAAAAAAAAGTAAACAAACAACACTCATTTATCCAGACAGACAAATTTATCCATACAAGACTTAATAATTTTTTTGGTAAACAGCCTCTTATTCGCTCGATCATATAGGAGTGTTTCTTTATGACTTAATCGTTAAGCTACTAAAGCCAAAATGGCTATAAGAATTAAGTCTGGACCCCTCACTTGTCCAAATTATGTCCCTCAAACAAATATCAATAACGTGTAACACCCGGATTTTTATATACCTTCGTGTTGTATTTAAATTTTTGGTTTTGCCGCAGAATTACACTATTATTACAGGTTTACGCGGGTTTTTGTGATAGTAAGTAACCATGCAAGGGAACCAAGAAATCAGGGGTGTTACATAATGCCCTAGAAATAATCCTACATGCTCTCTTTGCCTCCCTGAAATCCGTCCCGATCCCCCAGACGTACATATTTATCTAAACAAACAACTTAATTCATACATGACTTAATGGGAAAAAAAAATAGTAAACAACCCTGTAAGATATTTAGTATGCAAACATGACCATACCATCCTCCACATTCACATCTTATGATTCCCCGACCATATGTCTTGTGGGATTTGGTATGTTGATTATATTTATATCAGGAAACGTATAACATCAGCTTTGAATAAAATCCGCTCCGACCAAAGAAAATGCAAACATAACTACGAGCATGCATCAGATCTATCTCAAAGACCGTTTCATTATAAACATACAGATAAATTACAAAGATTTATATCATACTATAATCTACATCAAAAACAAAACATTCCCACAAGAACACAGACATATCTGTTCTCTGGGTATTCGTGGGTTTCAGAGTCAGCTTACACATACTGACTAATCCTCCAGACTACCACAAGGGTGCGAAGTCGTCGCAGGTGAACCTTAATAACAACAAGGGTTTTAACAACGTCTGATTTTTAAGTATAATTGTTGCGAATAAAGACTCATAATCATCATTGGTTTCTTTTGTGCAAGATTCATGATGAATATCATCATTGAAGACCTACTAAAAGACTACTTTCGGCTTTAAATTAAAAATTAGGGCAACAAATATTAGTGATTATTTCCAAGTGATTTTA